CTCTCGTTCTCGCCGTAAAAACAGACATGCACACACCTCGCCGCTGAATCGCTGATGTTCCTGCAGTTGGCCTGTATCCAAAACCAAATACGTTTGGTACAATGAGTCACCTACCGCTGATCGAAATGAGGTCCATGGCATATTGTCATGTCTGTTGCGAGCGAGTGAATCATTCACAAATTTAGTTGGTAAATCCAGGAAAATGTGGAATTTTGGAACGATGCCTCATTACATCTTTGTTTGTACGGGGCGGTGAAATCCTTATTTTATTCGCTGGATCACAACAGCCATGAAGTTATTATTCACACTGATCCCCAATGTTCCCAGCACATGACAACCAAAGAGCCTGAAAAGCAAAAATCAATAAAGTAGTTATCCTAAAATGGTTCAATAATATTACTCATTCACATGTGTTTTCCGGGAGATCTTGCACCACATTAATATTATTTTATCCCACCCAAAGTCAGTGCAGTAAGCTGATTTATCAAGTCTCGCGACTGACAATAAGATCAAGCTTAGTTTGAGTATTGATAGGAAATGTTTTGAGTTCAAATAACATGGGTTTCAACTTAAGCCTATTTAAACAATGCCCAGTGAAGATGATTTATTCCCAACTTCTGTGTGGCTGTACTTCAAACAGACATAATAGTTGACAAATGGGTAACCGTACTAGAAAATTGATTCGGTTTTCATGTTTTCTTTCCTACATCCTTTTCTATATCACCAGTGCACCACAACTTCGAAATTCTTATTAAAAAGTAGATTGCCATTAGTCAAACGCGATAAGAATGAGATAGATGGTAACGGATGATACAGAAGTTTCACCAGTGAGAGTTTTTACCGCTATTTTTGATACTAAATTCACATTAGTTTTGCTAAGATTAGGAAAATGCATGACAAAAGCTACGGTATTTATTGCACACATATAGTGACTAACAAATAACGATTGCTCACAAAACAATGAATGACAGTTTTCCGAATTCCAAAGTTTTATCTAATTCAGTTTAGCTTTCAGCGTTGCATACCTACAAACTGTGGACGTTGACGTTTGTTTAAGCGAGGAGACTACAAATAATGAGTCCCACTTCCATTGTTCGAATAATCTGCCGGTTTAAAAAGGTGACTAGTTCAGTTAAAGAGTAGTCGATGGTTGACTAGCATGTTCTGGAGCCTGACAGCAGACCAATACAAGGAGCGCTGTATGTCGATTGTGAAAAGTTCAGTAGCTTCCGTGGGATTCGAACCTACGCATGGACGCCGCCTACGCTTTGTACACGCATGCTCTACCAGCTGAGCTAGGAGGCCACACCGATAGCAGTGATCTTTTTCACATTCGAATTTACCCATCCAACTTACAGAGGCATGTGGCATCCACCAGTTAGCATGTAAGCTGACTGCCCCGACAGGTTTTCCTTCGAATTCACCGGACTCCACCGAAAGAGCTTCTAAGACAACTATTTGAACAAGGAGCGTTGTTCCAGAAAAACAAATAATTCGAATAAATCCTGTGTTAGGTTGTCGTTTCCTGATGACATCAAACGACTATTTACCGTTTTCCAATTGGGAAGCTGAGTATGAATTAAATATCCTAGACGGGAAGAAAGCTGCAGTCCAAATATTTTCAAACACAATCATAATGATATAGAAACTAGACAAGAAGAAACCTGGAGTCGTGAATGGTTTCAGACATTTTAGGCACAGCAATTGAAGGCTGATTAAATGAATGATTACTTCGTCTTTCGAGAGCAGTTCTCTTCTCACGTTGTTGCAAGCCTGCTGTTTGTGACAAATTAATCTGTTGAATGTTTGAAGCCGTTATTTACTTATGAATCCAATTGGTCATTAACCAACTCGGTCCTAACTAATCTCTCTATTGAGGCACTCCTCGATGGACCACTAACAACTGCTGATAACTTTCAGGTTCTGTGCAATCAACCGGTAAACCAAATTATCAAACATATTCCCATCATTTACCGTTGCAATATGTTACATCTAATCAATTATATCGGCTCTGGTGATCTTTATCAACTCGAGAACCATAATTCCCTTTCATATGATTATGATCCCACGGTCTATGACGCTAATCTTTTGATTCGACCTGTGACAGATTGTGCGTTTTAGCACCGTCGCGAAACTTGATTTAGCAAATGATTGATAAGTACCACTCCGATTCATTCACAAATAGTGAGTGCAATCGAGATATTCCCTTTGTGATTCATAAGGAATTGGCATGAATTTCGAAATAGTTTAGTTGTATTCAATGGTTAACTATGGACGGATGGATCGTTACAACTGCTTGTATTAAGACTTCTCCAGTAGTAGTACCGTGGCTATCAATTGATTGACATTAATAAACCTACGACATCCTACATAAACACCTGTATATAACCTCAGTGATCAGCCATTTCTCTCATGTGCATTCGTATCTGTAACACCACTGCGCGAACGTATATATCAATGTGTCTGTATATAACAGATAGTTGCAGGTGAACGGCGTAGTGTTTACTTGTTATCGGCCGCTCAGGAACCTGTTTTCTGTCTCACACTCAGTTTAGTCAGCTTAATGGATAGCCACGAAATCGATGTTTACATCAGTGACTGAATAAATCTAGCCTCGAGAATTCTCGATTCTATTAGTCAAGACTTCGAATAATACTGTTGAATCTACTTGGATAGGAAATTTAGCTGTCCAAAATGAGTTGATTCCAAACAAGACATCCCAGTAGCGAACAGAATTTGGCTTTCCAGGATAATATCTTAAGCATTTTCAGTGTAATATAAAATAATAAATATCAGGAACGCAATTCTATGGTCAAATGATGTGCAAAGTGTTATCCTGTGGGTTCTCATCTGAGATTGTAGTGCGATGTGACGTTTCTTGAAGTAGACCGAAAAATAGGTGACCGAATACTGAATACGTTTAATGGCTCTTTTTGTTATTCTATGGAGATTTGGAAACCACCTCGAGTGGTCCGGATAATCCCATGTAGGTGGGGTGTAAGGACGCAATGGGTAATGAAGATGGACCGCAGATTCTACGCGCTTTCTTACTGTTTGTCCATGTCCTGAATCGTAGGATTTCACTCATGAATTATTAATTTATAGACGGACAGCTGAAAGCAACTGCCTTAGGGTCTTTGTAAACTCCTTCCTCCGTGAAAATTTGGTACGTTGCCTATCACTAAGATTGATGACTGAATGAGTAGCGAAATATTTCGATGGTTGGTACAATTATGAAGGACATTTCTTAGTGTACCTTTGGTCCAACTTTGTTTTTTAGGATTATTTTCTCGAATGCAATTTGATCCCTTAATTTGATCATCAAAGGTATCATGACCCTTATTCATCGATGAAGTCGAAAGCCTACTAGATACTAGTAAGACGTTGTCTTCACAATTCTGTGGTCAAAAGTGTGAACCTCAGTCCACTAAAATATTTCACGCACACTTCAATCTAATCACTTATAACGATGCTCGTCATTCCAAAAGTTCAACAAGATGCACAACCTGATTTTCATGAACTTCATTCACAGCTGCTACATTTCACCCTGATGGTTATCGGCCTTATGCGACACAGGGATGGTTACAGCAAAGGGAGTTACAGTTTTTGAGGAGAAATTACTTTTTAACTTCACCATCCTTCAAAACGAGAATATCTTCCTCGGGATAGAACGCAGACTAAGGTGAATGTTGTGATCTTTGGAGCGCCTTTTACTGGCTGTCAGCCATTACCACCATACCTTATACAACCGATTTTACGAAGGACAATCACCTAGGAGTAGCTATACTTCCTTATATTGGACGATAACCTTTGGATTGGTCGCCGTCTTTTCGAGAGTCGTTTATATATATATATATATTTTTATTGAGAAGAAAGTAAACGATTACAAGAATGACCACTTAGATGAAGGCAAAGCCTCTTCTATTCATGAATTGGTATAACTGCATTTAGCTATTATTTTTCTGTATGTTTAGTCAAGTGTGTTTATAATAACATGTGCACTCAGGAGATGAGTGTCGTACAAACAGTCAACAAACGACTGTAAACTGGGCGCTGTTGATGAAACGGCAACACTGCATTTGATGCCACTATATCTTTGACGATTTGCCATAGAACGGGGAGGAGGTTGGCTCGCGTTTTTGGAGCTACGAGTTTCGATCTGGTGTTTCACTTGTGTGGACCCTGTGTGCTTGTGTGTGTGTGACCTAGGGTCGGAACAAACTCCTATGTGACCTTCCCATGTGTGCCACTACCGGGTACAGACAGATCGGGCACGATTTGATTCGTCTGATTGACCGACTGGGTGTGGTTATTTGACGCGAATTTCATGCGTGTTTATGTGCTAGTGTGTTTCTCTAGCTTTCCTGACTGTTGTGGTGCCTAGGTTTTTGTGCTCGTATTACACGAAACGAGCTGTCTGGTGCACTACCGTTGTCACACGACAGCACCTCGATCTGACCGTAGATGCGTGTGCGTGCGTATTGCGTGCGTATGTATGCTTGCATGCCTGCGTGTGTCTGTCTAACTATCGAATTGTGTGGAGCATCGGCATCGCATCAGCACTCCCATCTGCTCGTTGCCGCAGCTATTCTTGGCCCTGTTGACACACTGGCCTTGTCGTTTTTACGAGGATTTAACTCTTCGCTATCCAATATTCGTTCGCTTGTAAGCAGGATTCCTGTGAGAGCGTGACACACGAAATTGTCTTTGTTTCGGGATCGTAACGTATTCACGCGGTGTTAGGCTGGTGTGTGCTATGACATCAGTGTGTTTTATCTGATCGCTAATTGTGTGGCAATATTACAATTTGTGCTCACACAATCCGTTCATTGTTTCTCTGACTGTGTGCGTTTGATTGTGACACTCTCCGGAATTCTGACTGTCTGTTTCACCGTTTAATTTTCTCCCCCGTGCCCGTTTTTTACTTACATCCTTACGTGCTTGGCCTCTCGTCTTGCACGTGTTCGACACAACCGATTACCGATCACTACTCATTCCAGTGTCGTGAGTCACTTGCAACAACGTCATCCGCTGCCGATGCAATCTGGCGCTAATAGAAAACAAGATATTGTTCTACTGAATCCGCAAACAGGTGAAGTTCTCAATTCCAGTCCACATTCGACTCAGGCAATTCATTTGACTTCCGGAACCAGTGCACCGGTTCAATTATCCAAAGCAGAAGTTCTTATGACTAGTAACGCTCAATCAGGGGTAAATGGTGTGCCAGTCAATGGACCACCGGAAGAGACCACATCCGGTGTCGCCGGATACGCCCAACGATCTACCCAGAATGATGCTGGGGGGCAAGCCCCCAGTCGTGGTGGTGCTGGCAGCGGTGGTGCTACGGGTGGCGGTGCTGGACCCAGCAGTGGAGGTCAACCTGTGGTATCCAATTCACTGGAACGAATTCGCCAAGTATACAATATGGCCGAATGTCCAATGGCTCATCTGACTGTGTTCGTGGATCGTGCACTTGTATGCCGTCGTATTAGACCACGCTTCAACGCATGTGAGATTACGGAGGTTTTGTTCGAGCATTTATCACCGGCGATTGACAAGGATTCAATACGGTAAGTGAAACACATGATTCTAATGGTATATGACTATATATCTCCATCGAATCCGCTCGGTGCGTAATTCCTTCTTTACTTCTTTCCAATATAAATGGCCCTGAATAATACACAATGAACGACAAACAATTTTGGTTTTATTCGTATTTCTTTATGTGTATTCAAACACAGCATGTAGTTATTCAAAGCGGTCTAAAACTGTACGATTTTAGGGTGACAAAAAATGAACATAAGGACTACAAACATGATGCTGTGAAGTTCGTCAGATTAACTGATTTAATATTTACCGAACACAAGTATTAAAATCCGTTTAGACTTAAGTCACTAATTTACTTCGTACACTAAGATGGCTAATCACCAAATGAACGTGCGCGTATTTGATAGTTCAACCATCGTGTTAATTTCATCTTTTAACATTTACTGAATAGCACAATTGTCGGTACATCAATCGCATTGAATTGCTAGATCTGTACTGTCAATTACAAAAGTTCATTGAAATTCTCATCCGTAATTGGATGACAACGACTTCTTATGGGTTTCATCAGAGTAAATAAAACTTGATGATTAAAACATACACAGACGTTGTTGAGTCATCCAGTATTCACGTGTTCCACGTGTGGTGTAACACTACCTGTCAAATCGGGTTTGGTCTCAAATGAAGATGGTTAATGATGATTGTGCGAAAGAACGCGGAAAACACGTTTGAAATATATAAATCATTGAACTGCGAACACGAGTGTTAAGGACGTAATAAAGAGGCAAAAAAATTCTTATGATTGATGAGGTAATGTGGAGACTGTAACAAGCAACAAAAATGGGATACCACTAAAAGATTCTCAGGTCTCCCCAGTTCCTCCAATGAGATTACTATGGTTCATTACGATCGGATTTGGTAGTCGGTCACCTGAATTAGCCATAGAACTTGGGTACCGGTATCTCGTGAAACATATCTTTAAGAGGGAGTAACGCCCATTTTATCTAGTTCGTTTTTGTTTAGTTGCTAGCAGTATAAATAAACAGATTTTCCCCTGGTTTCTTGTTTGCAAATAACTTATGAGGAAGAAGGCTTTATAATTCTTCATTCGATACAAATTTAGTGTTTAATAAAGAAGAAACTGGCTCACAACCAAATCATGGTGATGCGTAACCCTCCGTTTTCGTTTCACAGATTCCCGAGCTTTCTATCGGCTTTTTGTTCTACTTTTACGGGTCTACGTGGGCTACGGAAATACAGCATGGGTGGTTTTGTTTCAATCCTGCTTGGTTAGCAACATTTAAAGATGACTGTGTTCCCACTGGAAATTCAGCATTTGGTTTATTCAGCCACCCTTTTAGTTATATAATATTGGAATTATTGTTTTGCGTGGCTTGTGGTGTGTTCCGTCCTCGTGCAGCTCTGCAATCGCTGAGCCCGTAGCTACGGCACACGCACAACTGTTGTGGTTCATCATTTGAATTATGTGATTCAAAGTTTCCTTTCACCAGGAAATAATTTTCGCTGTTTTTATAATTCATCAAAAGCGCTTTTAACCATGTCATCTTTAAGGAACGGATCAGTTAGGAAATTGAACTACAAGTCCACATTTTATCTTTTATCAGTTGACGCAAATTAATCCGAAAGATCATTCTCAACGAATTCACTGCACACTAAAGATTTATCTGTTTACATTACCGGAGGGAAATTTGGCATAAGCAAGTGAAATTTTCATTGGACCGATGCACATACCGTATGGCTATGTTTCGCCCTGTGTTGGTCGAAAACATTAGAACTTTTTGGAGCAGGGGTTTGCACTTCAAACTTGGTTGAAATACTTACATTTCAGTTTCCCACGTACCGTTCAATCACAGCTTTGTGACCATTTGGCTCCTCTGTGCTATACGGCATAGAATAAATAGACGATCTTGAATGCGATGGAAATATTTGTGATAACTGACAAATTGCACCAGACACCTGTTTCGTCCTGTTTGGAACTCGTCACCAGCACGTTCAGTTTTGTGTCCCTGTCAGGACTCTTAAGGAGTGAAACCCACACCCAAGACCATCAAGAGTGCCTGGTGCCTCTGAACAATCGAATGGGTTAATCCAAACTTGCTACTCTGAAATACTCACAGCTTCACTAACAAATATCAAACATTCACTTTTGAATGGTAGAATAACTTCGCTTAGAGAAGAAAGAAACCTCTGTTTAACGCTTTAACTATAAAAATGATAAATGTCATTTATGGGAGACGTGTGATTGTCTCCTACATTCGCTCTGGTAAATTTGTCTCAGATTCTCTCCTAATCTTTATCGTTGTTGTTTGGAGCAATTCCTCTCATGATTTAAACATTTGAGTCGATATATTATTTCTCGCTGATAAATGCACCCTCATAGACATAATCTTAGGACGCATCAATCGGTTTTCACGGATAATTTATCGCAACCCAGTGCCATTTTGTTGCGGGGACTAAAATGCAGCATTTCATTCACTCATGTTTCGTCCATACTATGAACCTTATCGATCGCTTCTGTCAGTCATTGGCGCCTGGCATTTGAATTTTGACCATACACTTAATCTTTGATGAGCTCTTTTTCACGTTTCTTGCGAACTCTAAAATGATATGGTTCACTCGCACCTGTGGTGCTTGAATACATTTGCTAGGCAGCTCAGCGAACGCATCGATTTTGGTTGAACTAGGTTACGTGCTTGAATGCAAATAATGCACTTCGTTCAGTTCATTTTCGTGAGTTATTTCTTGATAAATGATCTCGGGTTCGTCACCCGAACCAAACTCGATCGGGCGGTATGGTTTCCGACTACACATGGAACACGTGCATTTAACATCCGATTATAAAGTTTGCATGCCGGTACATATCAGGTCTCTCAGACCCGGCACACTAAACGATCTCGGAACACCTGGGTAGTAGTGAATGAATGTATCGATGTTACACCTCTGACCCGATAAGTCAACATCATTGTTATCCAGTCACGAATGAAATAGGTTTACGGGTCACCAACTTGTTCGATGACAGCGTGCAGGGTATATAATTATTGTCTTTGAATCATCGATATGATCAACTGGTATCGATTCAACTACACTATAAAAGCCAATATTTGGCGAAATCATTTACTCTTACATGTGTTTGGAGATTGGTCCAATGAAAGTCGTTCCTCCTATGTTTGATTTGCATTCTCGTATGCCCTATAATGACCATACTAATTGGTGGAAATAACTTAAAAACATGGCTATCCTTATTGAGACCAATCAGCAATGTATTTCGAACTTTTCTTTTGAATGCTTAGATCAACTTAGGTGATTTCAGTTGTGTCAGGGAAGGAAAATTCACATGTCGCAGATAAGCACCAGCTAGAATAAAACAGATTTATAGCACTATCCGTCAAATATTGCAAGGTCTCTCATTGTTACTAAGTATTTTAGTAAGTGTATCGTGATCAGTTACGGCTGGTGCGGTCTTAACTAAAACATTGTTGACAAAAATTTGTACTGACTCCTAGGTTTCTGCCTGTAATTTGTATTTTAATTGTACGGAGCGGTTATTAATTGCTCAGTTATTGAATTCGTATGGCGTGATTTGTTAGTTTGCATAAGTTGAACACAAAATTTAACCGGGATTATTCTGGTCCTTAATGGGTCATTTATTTCCGTTGTACCACCATAGCTACATCCGAAAACATCTTACGGATAAGTCTTCACTCTGAGCCACCAAATAACTTTCACTTACCGTTTGATTGAGTTAACACTGCCGACACTAAACCCAATAGCTCTATACATATAAGGTTGCAGGGAGATGTTAACAAAATACAATTTACAATGTTTGAAAATGCCAGCTGCTCAAAACACATTTATCTTATCCTACCAAAGCCTCAGTATGGTTGGAGTGGGTATCTAGCGTTGCGGCTAGCCACTCTTCCCATGCACCTCGAGAAGCACTCCCATACAACCAGGCGTCTCAAATAACCTCTGCTGAGGAAGCCCTACTTACTGCCTTCTCGTGGCGGAGGTGTTTTCAACCAAAGTGAGAGGATGAAAAGTTGACATCCAGGGCTATAACCGGGTTGGTGGACCACTGGTAGTTCACCCAGGGAAGTTGCCCAAAAACCCTGATTCCGAACCAATCAAGGGGAGGTGTACGAACCACCTGTACATCGGTTGTGGCAATGGTCACCGGCTCAAATGGGCATCGAGATGTATTGAGCACATTGGACGTTTGACCCCTTCCAAGGGGCTGTTTATAAAAAAACGGCGAGCAAAAGTTGTCTCAGTTATATTTGTTGGTTTACAACAGTAACCTCCATTTCATGCAATGCCTTTCCCCTTCGTGCACAGCAAACGAAATTGAAATCTCCAAATTCAACTCTTAATTTCGCAGTACTATTCCGTTTTTTTGATAAATAAATCAATATTTAACCAACAATCGAGTTAGTGCTTTACCACATTAGGGGCTACAAATGAATTTTCAATCATTATCTACGGCGCTCCTTTTGGCATTTTCCGTTTTAGTCATATTTTTCGGATCGTTAATGCAAATTGATGGATAAAGTCGTATATCATTCAGTAGTCAAGGTCATGCGGCTTAGGTTTTGTGCAAACATGTAATTTTGTGGCTAGCAACAGAAAAGATCAATTCTTAAAGTAACAATAACTTCCTTTTCACTTATTTATACCAATAATTCAAACTCCTAAACCTTAGGTCGGGTACCCTGCGTAACTCAATTCACACAGGTATATTATCCATCATTGTGAAAGCGGTGGTGTCCCACAACCGTTCGTTGGCGTCTAGATCCGAATTCCGTTGGTCTTATTACCACTGCATGCAAGCAAAAAGGAATCAAGCACTTTATCGGTATTTTACTGCAGATTAAAAGATATACCCCAGCTTTCAGTTAACAAATTCAAATTGTTATTGCAAACTACAATACTTTTTATATTGATATATATTTCTTGTTGTATCAAAGTTTTATACGCAAATAATAACCAGTCCTACGAAAATCGCTGA